ACTGGCTTCCAGTTCCAATCTCCCCCTCCCTCTCTATCTAATTTCAGTGTGCCCCTTTGGTCCTTTTCCCAAGTCCTTGTCCAGCCAGCCCTACAACCTGGCTTCTCATCAGATCGGCCTCCCATCACCTTGTTCCCCCATCCCAAGGGTTCTCAGTTCCAGTCTCCTTGCCCAGTCTTCATTCCACTCAGTTCTCAGTACCCATCTCTGCCCCTGACTGCCAGTTGCAGTCCCTGTCTCCCATCCCCCCTAACGCCCAATGCCGGCCAGGCTCCTTGTCCCAATCTACTCCACTGTTCCCCAGAAGGTCAACTCTTGTGCCCTCTGCATTTGAATCCGACAGCTTCCTCCTCCATGCTACCTGGGCTCCAGGGGCGGGGGGGCAGGAGGGGTGTCATTGAGAGCACAGGAGACATAGGCTCCATACTCTCAGTTCAGGCGCCCAGACCCAACACAGCCCAGAGCTGCAACAGCAGGGAAAGTCCTGCTCAGTCCAGGCTGATGCATGCTCAGTGTGGATGGAATTTAGGGGGAATTTAGCTGCTAAAATCTGAGAAGTCTTTATTGAGCATGTGCAAACTGTGATTTTTCAAAGGCCTATAACTTTCCCAAGTTTGAGCAGATTTTCATTAGGGTGTCAAGAGGCACATCGTGGACACAAAGGACACCCCCTACCAAATTTTGAGTCCCTGATCCACAGCATGGGGGCACTAGAGCTTTTCAAAGAAAAGTTCACCAGTATGGAACATGGATGAAGCAATCTATTTTTCTCTAGCCTCGTTCTTGGAAACAAATAGTTTTGGCTAAAATTTTCCAAGACAAAAGAAATCACCCTGAGGCTGACACTAAGCATGAGAAATATAGGCCAAACATTCAAATGCTGGCAAAATTTAAAGCACAGGGTCTTATAATGGGAAGTGTCAGTCAACCTTATTAATAGGCAGTTCTACCAGCCCCAGCTGTAATTTTATATATATGAGAGTTATACATTACCATGTAAAGTCAGGGAAGAGCTGGCTTACTTCTGGGGGAGGAAGAAGGAAATGGTGTGATTTCCCTCCCCAATGTTTCTAAGAAATCATGTCAGGCCTGACCCTGCAATGTGCTGACAGTTCTCAACTCAAGGGACATCACTGGGAGTTGAGGGCCCTCAGAGGATTGAGTTTTGTGTGCCCATCATGATTTATAGTAAAGAGCAGATATTGCAAAATAATTCAGAGCCACAGTAGAGACAAAGGGCAGTTATATTTTTAAATTTAAGCACAAGCCTTCCTATTTGATTTTTTTAAATAAAACTTTCATAGGATAGGGGAGATATTTAGATATCAAAAAACATATTTCTCCCGAAGATGATACTGCAGTCTACTGACATCACACTGTTTCCCAGCTTGCAATACTGCTAGCTGAATGGGGCACGGTGGATCATATGGTAACCAGCAGGGTGTGAGGTTCAAGTGGCTCAGTTAAAAGAAAGGAATCTATTTTGAGGGACAAAGCCTAGGAAACTCATAATCCGAAGAAAAACAGATGGAGGGGGGCCAAGCTCACTGAACTAGATGGCTGCTGTAACAGGTGGGGGAAATCTAAGAGAAATGTATGAAAATCTCCAGGTGAGCCTGGTGAAGCGAGAAGAGAATGGTTTTCAGTTCAAGAGACTGTAAGTGCTGTGAGTTTTCCTAGTAATCAGACATGGGCAGCCATAGAAGATCAATGATGATTAGGCTCACAGTAGAAGTTCTAAAGGGGACATAGGAAAAAGTCCTGTCCCTTTGCAGAAAGTGACTGTGGGGGAGATGTGGTCTTATTGAGTTCACAAGGCCCAGGTTCCCAGAGGGCTGTCCCAGACCAGTCTGGCTAGAAGGCAGTGAGTGGGTGGGGGGATGGTATTGGGCTTAATGGACTCAGGGAGTGCCCAAATATTAGTGCAGCAGAGTCGAGTCCAGGCAGGTAGTGTCCTGCCCATGAGCCTGGTATGTTTTCCTGGGGAGAGACTAGGAGCAGTTTCCTGCCCTTCAGAAAGTGCTGACGTGATCAGGGAGGTCACTCGTGGCCACCAAAATAGAAACAAGGCATGCAGCAGCAGCAGCCACAGCAGTGAGTCTGGGTCTTGTACAGCAACATAGCTCTTCAGGAGCTTAGCTCTGACTAGGTTGGAAGGAAAAAAGAGCATAGAGCGGGCACTCTTTAACAGTGTATTCTCTTTTGGAAGATACTCCTTGCGTTTAAAATGGGAAATGCCAGTAGAATCAATCTCTTTCAAACCTGTAGAAAAATTTAAGGCACACCCACTGTTCCAGGCTCTCTTTGTGGTGAAAGATAGGTGACAGGGTGTCATGTGCCCTACATGAGATGCAGAGCCATTTTCTGGACTCCCCTTAGCAGTCAGCCCAATCTGGACTGACTAGTTCTAATCTATGGAATGTAAGACATAGATAACTCCTTAAAAGTAAACAGAACTAGGAGGAGGGGCAGAAGCGGAAAGGGCCTGCAAAAAGAAATCCTAGGACCAGCTGGACTCTAGAGAAAGCCCAAGCTTAAATTTATAACTTGTTTAAAATAGTAAAAGGAAATCCCAAGAAGGGGGTATTTTTAGAAGCTATTGAGTGTATAGGGAATATGGTAGGAGCAGGTTGGGAAAACATGTTTACATCACTTGTCTAGGAACTCTGTTTGAATTTATTCAGTCCCACGCCCACTTGCATTCCTGTTGTTGGTTTACAATACACACAGAAGACAAACACACACACTTGTGAGCATATTTCCACTCATGTGTTGAATACCTTATACTAGCTTCAATAGAAACTCCAAGCCTCTACACATTTCTCAAAAAATTTATTTTAGAATAAGAGCAGCTTTAAGAAATGAATGCATCTATCCCGTCTAGAGCTGTGCAAAGACGGGCCATTCCATT